AAGTAGAGAAGATAACCCAAACTAATTTCTTTGGAACAACAAATAGATTATCAGTAACTACAATAATAACGAACCATTTTTTGAAGGCGTCATAATAACAAGCAAACATAATTTTTCCAAATACAAAATAGAAAATTGTGATATCTTGTAATTCTGTTTGAAATTGTGAGTATCGTACTTAGTTACATGCATGATATTCAATAAGTGATTTCAATCTTTACTTTTAGATAGCATTGTAAGAAGTGAAAGTTTGTTTTTTAATGTGTTGTAGTTTCAAAAAGATCAGATAAACCGAACAAAGGTGGGGAGAGTTGCTCACGCTTCTCCTATTTAGTATTGACTCACCAAAATCCATTACAATTAAATAACTAAGAAGATCACAATTTTGTCTTCGCAGAATGAGAATGAAACCCAACAATATATCATGCACACAAAGAGAACCAATCTTGAATCAATTGTTTTCTACAGTATAAAAAGGAGTGAGGAAAAAGTAAAATAATAAGAAGCTATACTTTTGAATTGATCTCTTACCAAATGCTTGAACCTAAATGGATTCCTCTGGATACAGAGCGTCTAAATTCCTTTGGATACATGATCATTATAACTTGCCTGCCATACAAGTATACACCATGCGCAAGAAAATTGAGAAGAGATTAAAAAATGAAATTACATAACAAACATTAAAGTTTACCTATACATAGTTGCGAAAGTCATGGGTGTGAATCAAAATCAACATCATCCTTTTGGATTGTTGTAGATGGAGTGAACAATGCTCCATAATCAAGCCATCACTAAGGATGAAAATATAATATTAACCAACCAAATTCTATCATTTTAATATTTCAAGTGATAAAAATATTCGTTTATTTATTTACGGCCGATTTTAACATTTCCAATCAAGTGGTAGTTGACTAATAGTTTTTTTTATAGGAAAAGTTGTTATGTTGGTCTATGTCAATAATCGATTTTTTTTTTTTGGGTCATGATAATCGATTTATTTTAAGTGTAAAATTATCTAACTATTTCTATTTAACCATTTGAAATAATGTCATTTTTTAATCCATTAAAAATCTGGTGAATTGATTAATCGATGGCGAGTTGGCTATAATTAGATTAAAAATTTAGTTCAGTGATTAAAAGATCCGGATAACCTATAGTTATTAAAAAAAATATCGTTTCCATCTCAATTGACTCCACGTTTCAATGAAAGATTTTTAAAAATTTACTCCCTTTTTCTATATCATTAGATGTTTCATAATTTAAAAAAATATATATTATATGATGTTTTACGGATCAAGTTTAATATATTAAGCACAACAAAGATTTTGAATAATTTCATTTTGATTTGAGTTATTTTTCTTCAAAAAGAATGGAGGTAGAGCCAATTTATTTTTCTTGCATATTTTAATGTTATTTAATATTGTTAAATTTTTCAAATTTTTTTTATAGCGTAATTATTCAAATTGTGATTTTAACTAATTATTAAAAAGAAAAATGTTTTGTTTAAAATAATTATTATTTAATATTCGCGATCTAAATAACTAGATATTTATAGCCCAATGGGCTTATATCGTTTTAAAGATCCGCATGAAAAGAAGAAGGAAGTCAAGCTCAGTCTATTTTTCAAAATACACAGA